CTCTCCCACAAAATAACTCATGTCCTTTTATTCACCTGCTTTCAATTCAAGTAAAATGCCTCAAGTCTGTTTTCTTTTTTAACTTTATTTATTTTTGAGAGAAAGAGAGAGAGCACCCACATGTGAGTGGGGGAGGGTCAGAGAGCGAGAAGGAGAGAGAGAGAATCTCAAGAAGTCTCCATGCTGTCGTGGGGTTCGATCCTATGGACCATGAGATCGTGACCTGAGCTGAAACCAAGAGTGAGATGCTCCAATTGGGCCACCCAGGGCACTCCGAATCTGTTTTCTCAGTGTAATTCCACAGGCATAAATTTTATCCCTACATGCTTGAAACACTCTAAAATTTTTCTTGACATCAAGAATGTCAAGCATCTGTTGCAGGATATCCCTTTCCTACAGTTGAAATTCTTTTTGCCAAAATATTAGAAACTCAATTATAGCTAAATACATTAAGGTCAATTCCTAAATGAGAAAAGAAAACTTGAAAGGGAACATGAATATGTTAATAACCTGGGCCAAACATCTATAAGTGGTATGAGAGTGCTGAGCTGAATTGAGTATGGAGATGATTCCTGTGTTCAAATATCTTCAGTAAGTCTCCTTTCCTCACTTGACTTTCCTATGCAGTGTTTCAGAAAACACATGTCATTAGGTAACTACCAGGGTTTCAATAACAAGTTGGTTCTGAATATAAGGATTGAATATACTTATATATATTACAAAATGAGTTTTCAAAGGAAATAAAAAAGGAATCCATGACTCATAGGCATATTGAAAACACACAACAACAAAAAGGAAACACCAAATAGGAATACCAGATAAATCAGTCTCATAAAGTCCAAATATTCACAAACTAGTTCACATTAGTATATCTGAAAAATGTAAGCATGTTTAGCCAATTTGAAAATAACTTTTTGAGAAGCACTGGATCAAAATTATTTATGCAGGTGAATTTACTACATTAATAAATCTTAAACACACACACACACACACACACACACACACACACACACACACTAAAGTACAAGTAAAAGAATAAAAGAAAATAATACCAGTTCAACAATTCAACTATTTCTTCAGAACAATCAAATGACTTCATGGTAGAAACAGAAAATATGTGTAGAACTTAAGAAAAAAGGTGTACTCTACATTTCCTCTCCCAAAAGAATCTAGTAGTAAAAAGGCAATCAGCATATCTGTTTTGGTAATATAAATAAATTACACAAAGTTGAAATAATCAACATAATTGAAACATATTACCACTCATCAAAACTCAAAATAGAATTTTCATGCTCAGAGCCAAGCTTACATGTGTGAACACTTACATGTAAATGTTGTATATATGTGTATATAGATAAGGAAAAGAGCTACAGAGTGTATGACATTGAATCAACATGATCAAATTTGAACATTAGAAATAAAGCAAATAGTGGTAGAATTTAATTATAAATAAATGGAGGCAATGTGAAATTGTAATAGGCAAACAAAAAAATTGTGAATCATTAATTTGAATCCTAACCAGTTCATTGATAGCCACAAACACTGATGATAGAAAAATATTACTAAAATTTAACTTATTATAAAGCAAGCCATGGTAGCTGAACTAGACCTTTAGAATCAAAAGAAAATATGCCAGAGGAGTGGAAAAACCTTTTCTGAAAAATGATGGTAATTTGTTGAAAGATAAAATAGAGGAACTCATATGTATTGCTCTAAACATGTATGAACTGAATATATCCCCCCACCAGAAATATGTTTTTAAGCCACTTAAAAGACTTGCACAGAGATAGCAACAACTGGGAGGTAGGTAATAAATCTCACCTGATTATTCTTGGAGTCAAATTTGCCTAAACCAGCAGCTGAATCTTCAGCTATCAAGAGTGGCTCGCTTTTCTCACAGCTGTCATGACTAATAAGCATGTCCGCATAGTTGGGCTGAGGGAAGATCACGTGACTCCTCCGAGAGTCCGCCGTGAGGGAGACCTCTTGGGAATAGGTCTGCAGGAAAGCTTGCACCCCGTCCACGCCCACAAAGTGCGAGGTAGGCATGCCAACCAAACTGCCTCCTGAAGCCTGGAGCAGACGTGTCGCGTGCCAGTGCCTCAGTCTGAGCGCCAGCAGCACAATCACAAACGCAAGGAAGACGCAGGAGACAACTGCCACCGCCACCACTAGGTAGAGTGTGAGGCCAGAATCGTGGGGATTGGCAGAAGACTCGAAGCTGCTTAGGTCAGCCAGGACATCTGGGATACTGTCAGCCACGGCCACGGTGAGCGTGACGGTGGCCGAGAGAGGGGGCTGGCCATGGTCCTGCACCACCACCACCAGGCTCTGCTTGAGCGCATCTCTGTCCAGCAGGGCCCGTGCTGTGCGCACCTCGCCCGTGTGCAGCCCCACTGCGAAGAGCCCTGGCTCGCTGGCCTTGAGCAGGCGGTAGGACAGCCAGGCATTCTGGCCAGAGTCTCTGTCCACCGCCACTACCTTGGTCACCAGGTAGCCAGGCTCAGCTGACCTGGGCGCCAGCTCCACACCAGTGGAACCATCGGTTGGGAGGGTGGGGTGCAGGATCTCTGGCACATTGTCATTCTGGTCCAGCACGAATATGCTCACAGAAACATTGCTGCTGAGTGGCGGGTTCCCACCGTCCAGTGCTGTCACCCACACTTGCAGGTCACGGAACTGTTCATAGTCAAAAGAGCGCAGTGCATATAGGGTGCCGGTGTCTGAGTTGATGGAGACATAGGAGGATAAAGGTGCTCCCTGCAGGGTATCCTCCACTAGGGAATAAGTGACCCGGGAGTTCTCATTGCTGTCCAGGTCAAGTGCCATCACTGAGAAGAAGGAAGCTCCTCTGGGGTTGTTTTCAGGAATGTAGACGGAGTAAGATGAGTCAGCAAAAGTGGGTGGGTTATCATTGTCATCTGCTACATTCAGTGAAATGTGAGTTTCTGTAGACAAGGGTGGATGTCCCTGATCTGTGGCTATCAAGGTTATATTATAGCTGTGGACCTGCTCCCTGTCCAGCACTCTGTTTGTTATCAATTTGTAATAATTTCCGTAAGTCTTTTCTAATTTAAAAGGCAGACTGTTAGGAACGAAACATGAGACTTGACCATTTTCTCCAGAGTCTTGATCTTGCACATTTAGAAGAGCAATAACTGTACCTGGAGGAGAGTTTTCCAGCACTGAATTAGTAGAAGATGTGATAGTTATTTCTGGAGCATTATCATTCACATCCACAACTGTGATCAATATCTTAGCAGTGGTCGAGAGACCTCCACCATCTTGGCCTTGAATTTCCATCTCATAAAATCTAGATTTCTCAAAATCCAGAGACCCTCGTATTAAAACTTCTCCAGTTTGAGAATCCAACTGGAATATTTCAGAAGCTTTGCTTTCCATATTCCGGAATGAAAACACCACTTCCCCATTGATTCCCTCATCTGGATCAGTTGCATTTACCATGAGAACCCGAGTTCCAGAGCTGAGGTTTTCAGGAATACTCACTTGATATACAGACTGTGTAAACTTTGGTATATGGTCATTTACATCGAGGACCACTACACGAATGGCAACAGCACCCTGTTGGATGGGATCTCCTCCATCGAAAGCTGTGAGGAGGAGATGGTGAGCAGCCTCCTTTTCCCGGTCCAAACTCCCCTCCAGCACTAGTTCAGGATTCTTGGCCCCATCCATCCCGCCTCGCATTTGCAAGGAAAAGTAACTGTTAGGATTGAGCTGGTAGCGCTGGAGAGAGTTCATTCCTACATCTGGATCCCTAGCGTTAGGAAGGGGAAATCTCGATCCTGGAGTTGCGTGCTCACTGACTTTTATCTCTATTTCTGCCTCCTGGAAGCTGGGGGCGTTATCATTAACATCCATTATTTCCACCTCCACTCCGTAAATCTTCAGGGTATCTTCCACAAGTATCTCTATATTTAAAAAACAGGAGGACAGTGTCTCACAGAGCTCCTCCCGGTCTAACCTACCTGCAGTGATCAAGCTGCCACTTCGCGGATCCAGAGCGAAAAGCTGCATCCTGCCTCTGGAGATGATGCGGACTCGGCGTTCCGCCAACTCCCAGGGTTCCAGCCCCAGGTCCTTGGAAATATTGCCCACGAAGAAGCCTTTATCTGTCTCTTCGGGCACCGAGTATTGGATGTGCCCTGCCCCAGACTCCTGTAGCGTCCTCAGGAAAATGTATAGTAGGATCAGCCCGCTGCGGTCCAGAAACAGTAGCCGATTCCCCATGGCAGTAAGCTGAGCTTATATTCCCTGGTTTCTTGGGCTGTTTTGTTCTGAATCAGCTTATATATCTACCAAGTTCAAGGATGACTGCATCCAGAATATATTAGAGAGAGAACTACTTTAAGTTTCCAGCATCAGGATCTGTGAGTATCCATGTTACTCTGCTTTGTGTTGTAGAGATGGGGGAGGGAGGGAAGGCAGCTTGCAGCTTCCCATTCCCTGATTGGTGAAGAGCGGCGCCTAGAGCCAAATCTTATTATTGCAACGAGTAAGAAAAGCCCAACTTAATGTGTCTGTTCCAGAAGTTATTACACACCTCTTCAAGAATTACACATATTTGTAAAACTGAAAACTGCACAAAACAAAGGGTTGTATAATGTGATGTTGAAGGTTTACCAAGAGCATTTAATAAAAGGAATAATTATTAAAAGGGATTGTTTAATTTTAAAAAATGTTTTCAAATACTATAGGAACTGAACAACTGCAAGTTAGACTTGCTTTCTATTGATTTTTACCAACTGAAGGGAACAGTATTTATGGATGTGGAACTAGCTCGGTTCCAAAAAAATCATCAGAGCGCATGACTAAAATTCTTACCAATATTTCTTTATTGAGTAAAAGATGAAACATTTGAGAAAATTTGGATGACATTAGGCTGTCATTTTAAAAATTACCATGATATAAAAAAATAGAATTGTGTTCCATATCCTTAAATAAGAAGTATTCTCTTTCATGAAAAATTTGCTTGAGATTTCTATATATTCTACCTTAAATTGCATAGTAGAATGACTGCAGCACCGTAAACTTTAGTCTAAACAGTGATACCAATAGGTTTGACCTAGATTTATTTTAGGAATTTTATCAAGAGATTGAATCTAGAATCATTACTTGTATTTATTTATTTTTAAAAAATTTTTAATGTTTATTCATTTTTGAGAGACAGAGCACAAGCAGGTGCAGGGCATAGACAGGGAAACACAGAATCAGAAGCAGGCTCTAGGCTCTGAGCCGTCAGCACAGAGCCCAATGCAGGGCTTTATTCCAACTCACGAACTGTGAGATCATGACCTGAGCCGAAGTCAGATGCTTAACTGACTGAGCCACCCAGGCACCCCTATTAATTTATTTTTAAGTAAGCTCTACACCCAAAGTGGGGTTTGAAATCACAACTCTGAGATCAAGAGTCACATGCTCTACCAACTGAGCCAGCCAGGCACCCTTTAATCTAGAATCTTTAAACAACAATGCTCCATTGGAATACATTGGCATTAGAATATAAAAAGCATTATTTTAAATACTTACCTGTTTTAAAGTTTTCTTATCTGCTTCAACACTAGGAGTTAAAATGCTAGTCATTAGTCCCGAAGGGCTATCTTTGTTGAGAATATCTTGTGTGGCTGGAAAATGATCAACAGATGTGAGAAAATTAAATTCCGGATTAGCTTGATCCCCAGGCACACAAAAATTATAGGCATAGGGTAATGTTCCTTCACTGTAGTTGGCGGTAATCTCGGGTCCAGACTTGGAATACCGACCAGACCCAAAGCAGCTCTCTGGGGCGTGGCTGGAAGAGCTTCGCAGGCGCAGGGCCACCGCCAGAATCACCGCAAGGAGGAAGAGCAC